AGCACTCAAACAATCCTCGTCTCTGATCGGGCAAGGCCACTGTTGTCACACAAACACAAAAAAATCGTAGATGATAAGAACATCTACAAAGAGTTAAGCCCGTCCGGGGAGTTTGGAGTGCGGGACGACCGTTTCGATTGTGTTCAATAGACTGTGATAACGAATCACTTCAGATCGGAGTAAACCACTAGTTTAATGAGATTCATATTTACGCTTTCAACCTCACAGAGGATACAAATGAAAACAAATTATGTTAGAGCCAAATAAATTTCTACAGTCCATTGGTGCTCTATTTCTTTGTGCTGATATTTTGCAGTGGATTCAACACACGTTTGAGTCTGATTCCTCCACAGGTATTTTATTTCTAAATGCGTATTCCCTTTGTCTAAATCACATTCAGAAATCACTTGTAATGCTTCTCAGGATTATAATATCACATGCACATCACATTTCCCAAGCCCGAAAATGTAAAATAATAGAGGCAGGGCAGGCGACACAAGCGGCACATTAGATCTCAAAGAGGAAAACAAAAGGATAACAAACACTTTGTAAAGATGACTCTCTGAAATTCCATTCCCCAATATCCAAGTGGAATATTCTCTCGTTGTACTAGATACATTTATATCGCACATATCTAACGCACATTACGATTTATCTAAACAACTTTTCCCCGAACACAGAATAATCAATCACACTTACGACTGTTGAGTATCGGAAAGGTTCATGTTTAATGCCCACTGATAAACCGATTACGACTGATCAATCCACCTGCCATCCGATCGATCCATGGATAAGCTGAGATCAAGCTCGACTCTAGCTCGAAGCTTTTGCTTGGCAAAGCTGTGGGTTCGGGCCCCATCGTGCGACTAGGGACTTCAGCAGAGAGAGCAGAAAAAACGAGAGAGAGAAGGAGAGAGAGGGGGCAAAGAACACAAATTCAGCCAGACAAGTGTGGCACAGCCCGCGGCACAAACACAATTTTTGACAATTTTCCAAACGGATAATGACAAACATTTTAATCACAAAATGAAACCGAAACCAAACCCAGAATCCACCACCAATGAAAGAACACAGGAGCAGCACGGGCAGGAGACGGTAGCAAAACCCACAAAATTTTCACACAATATGGTAAACATCTCCAACTGCGACACCGACTCCGCCCCGTGGTTGAGACCCTGGCAGCCCTCAGCCCTCAGTCCTCAGTCCTTATCTCTTAGCCCTCATCCGGAAGTCAAGTGTGTCGGCAGTCGTCCTGTGTTCCAACAGCCACCCGCCGCCTCCCGGCACGATGACATAATCGTCCTCTCCGCATACGCAATCATTACGCTGATGTTTCTGGCCTCCGGCAGGGGCATGGCACACAACAAATTTAAATCGAAATTGGAATAGGAACTCATTTTGGGGGAAGTCACATGCTAAGAACTTTTCAGCATTAATATTTCGCCAGTGACTTGTGCTGCTCATAATTTGTAAATAAACAAACAAACAAAGCCAACGCTTAAGACATCGTTAAATACGTGGTGTGAAATCGCTTTTGAAGAAAGTATTTTTGGATGAATTACGAAACGGATGATAAGAACGAGGAGCTTTTTACCATTCGCTCATTTACATTGCCATGGAGAGCCTTCAGGTTGAAAGCGGACTTACAGGTCTTACAAAATATTATCTATTTAAAGTCTCGAGGCTCGAGAGATGGGCTGGAGGGGGTATCTATTGCTTCGGGGCTGGGACGATCGAATTTTGCGGCTTCATCCACCACCCACTCTTCTGTGTTCTTTTGAGCTTTGAGCACTGTTCTGCTCTCTGCGATCGATCCCTTTAGTAAATGTATGTAATTCTGGTTCACCCACTCTTCCTCTCTTTTCATGGGGTGGAGTCTCTCTCTCCACTCATCTGCCGGCGGCTCTCTCTCGGCTCGGCTCGTCTCGCCCCTCCGTCTGCCCCTTATTTCGTCTCTTCTTTGACGTTTGCGTTTCTGCTCCGTTCCACAAAAGCTCTTGTTCTTTGCTTTTAATTGCAAAGTTTGCAAAAGTTGGCGCTCGCAGAGAGCTTAATGCAATTAATAACTCATTAAATAAATACAAATCAAAGTGGATGCTGCGGCAAAGGCCCCGCAAGATCCTCCAGCTACTCCCGACTCAAAGGGGAGTCCCAGTCCTAGTGCCAGTGCCAGTACCCGCCTTTGTGCTCAAAGGATGCCAGCGTAAAATGTACCAATTAAAAATGCAATTGAGATCTCAATAGCTACGCAAATGAACCGCATGAATGTGAATCTATCTAGACAAGTGCCGCAGACCGGGCCCAGGACCAGGGGGCAGGGGGCAGGGGGCTAGGGCTGCGAGTGGAGTGGGAGTGAGATTTTATTCATTAAATTACATTCGCATTTCATAGACGATTTCATGGCAATGTTAACTCGGTTTTCCATTTAGATTCCCGCTTTATTCTATGGGTCCTCCTCTATCGCTTTACCTTGTATACGACTCCTAATTTGACTCCTCGCTCTATCTCTCTCTCTCTCTCTCTCTCCCTCTTTAGCTTTTATTTTATGCCTCGTTTTATTCTCTCTCGTTGGCATTTTCTACGACTCCCTCCCTCGGTCTTGCTTTAACTTTCATTTTATGACTCTCTCGATTTAGCTTTTTTTGTATGTATGTGTCTCCCCTCTCTCCTTAGCTTTCGTATACCCTTGAATATGGTATTATAAGAAGGAAGCCTCTCTAAATTGGAGAATTGGAATCGGCTGGAATGTTCATATTTCTATGTTCCAGTGTGGTTCTGCATATGTACATAGATATGTATTTAGGTACCCCTGAAAGTTTTCTTCGGAATCGGAACCCTATGTCATATACGTTGTAGCTGTGTTAGTACTCCCAAGTAGTCCCAATCCATCCATAATGAATAATATCACTTTATTGAAGTTTTCTCATATGATTATGCTGCCATAGGAACCGTAAATGGAAACAAAGGTATCGAAAGCTTCGGTAGATCTCTGGCTTTTCTATGCCTTTTCTCCCTCTTTCCCTCGTTTCCTCTTTAAATGGAACTTTTTTACGTTCACCCTGCCCTGCCTTCGAACTTGTTTCCGGTGGCTCCCTTCAAGTATCTTTTTAATTAGCGTTCTGTTCTGTTCTGTTCGGCCCCGACTCAGCGCAGCGCTGCACCACTCGAACAAACTACGCAGCGAACCACCGCACCCCACCCCATCCCACTCCAGGCTTGCTGTTGCTCTTGCTCTTGCTCTTGCTCTTCCTCTCAGCACCTGTCTCACTCTCACTCCCACTCCCACTCACAGGCAGATGGATAGACAGACGGGATGGAGGCTGCCTGCTCGTTAACTCACTCACCGAAGATTCAATTTGTAGCTAAACATTTCTCCTCCTTTTCGTGTAGCCCCCTCCAAAGCGAGCTAAATGCGCATGAAAATGTAACTGTAACTGTAACGGTAACGGTAACGGCAACGGTGATGCTACGTCAACTGATGCTGCTGCACTGTTGCTATCCCATTTTGGCGCACGCCCATGCCAATACCAAATGGGCGCGCGCGCTCTTTGCGCTCCTTTGGCCCGTTATAATTGCGTGCCAGAGTTGTTGCTTGTTTTCCGGTTGGCTGCGCTATACCAGCCCCCTCTCTCTCTCTCTCTCTCTCTCTCTCACACTATTCCTGTCTCTCTCTGCCTCCTGGACGCAACATTGAATTAATATATGAATAGAATCGTGTATATAGTGGAAGAGACGGCGGCACTAGAGTACGGGTACGTGTATATATGCATATGTCCTGGGTTATTTGCTATATAGCGACAAATTGATAACGTTTTGTGCCGTTCGCTCAAGTTGATTTTCAAGCATGACTCACAGCTCACCGACCGCCGGAGGGGTTATCCGGGGCAGGGGCATTTAACCATATGTATACGTATGTTTTGTGGCAGCTACCGGCTGGCGCTGTGCAGAGGATGGGATGGTCCATTACCATCCTCTCGACACAGTGCCTCTACTCTATGGGATTGCAGATATGCAGGGGTAAATATTTTGGTACTACTCGTTTTTGGCCAAAGTGGGGAGTACAATCTGATTTAAATGCTCCTTTCATTAAGTAAAAAACGAGTATTCAGCAATTTGAAAGATCCCAGAAGAATATTCAAACAACATTCTTAAAATCATTATCATGGGAAAATTTTAAATCGAATCGTACACGTTCGAATCTTACAAATGCAATGATTCAAGAAGATGGTCATCTATCTTTTAAATGTAACAAACATAAGCACTATCTTCCAGGTTTAATCTGTCAAGTAATTACACAATTCAGTTGATAATAGATTCTATCAAGCTTTTCTTATTGACCTTTCATTTTGGGCACCAGACAACACATATATATGTACGTATATATGTACGTACGTATCCGTAGTCCTAAACGCCAACGAAGTCGCTCCAATCTTCTCACCAGAAAACACTTTTGCATAATACAATTTACTTATCTTATGTACATGCATATATGTAATTCGAATTGCATTCTTTGGCAGAGTAATTTAAATCCCTTTTCTTTGTAGTCCATAAGTCTCGAACAGATTTGTTTGGCTTTCCCTGAAATATAAACAAATTCGAAGACATGGGGGCTTCTGTTGCCGCAGATTTTCGTTATCACAGGATTCTGGATACAAAATCCGGTTGCTCTAGCTCTTATTGTGTCTGAGATCTAGTCGCTCTTCGGGACGGACAGACAGACATGGCTATATTGACTCGGATATTGATGCTGATCAGGAATATATATAAGTTATGGGGTCGGAAGCGATTCCTTTTGTCTGTTACACACATCTACACCAATCTAATATATCCCTAAACTTCGAAGACAGGAAACCTCGGAACGCATCATTTGTGAAATCGCCGCAGGACTTGGAAAAGAAGACCCACCAAAAGGGCGCTAACAATTTTAAAATTATTGATAATAATAGCTGCATCATATAAAATATATAGAGCCCTTAATAAACGAGCCTTGGAAAGAAAGCTACAATAAACAATGAATTTATTATTTCCGATCCTTCGGTGGCTCACAACCCATGAAGTGCAATCGTGGTGGATGATAGATACGAGTATAACGATAACTTAAATACAAATTAATACTTGTATGGGTGTATGGGACGTCGCTGGAATTAGCCATCATTTTAAAACTAGCATCATTTTCTGTCTGAGGCGAGAGAAGGGGCTGGAGCCAGAGATTGATATTTTCCATCGTCAGTAAGGAAGTAACTGGATGTCACAGCAGGAGCCATCTTTGGGGGTAGCTTTCCCATCTGCATTAGAAGTTCATCGATACGTTCCGTCTTGATTTTGATGATGTTCTCCATGTGAGTCAGTCGCTGCTGGTAGGAGTCCAACATGACATCTTTCGCCATGTTCTCTTGGGCCATTTTCTCATAGAGCGAGTAGAGGATCATTTTCTGCGGTACTTGAACAATGGCATCTCCAACCTGCTTGCTGATCACAACGATTTTCACTTCATCATTCTCCGCCCAGGCTTGCTCCTGACGCATCGTTATACTGCGTTCTTCCTGCATGCGCTGCCGCTTCTCCAGTCGAATGATTTCATGAAGCAACACCTCGGCAGCCCCGTGTGCGTTGTTTGACAGCAGTTCAATAAACTCACGACTTAGCTTAATGTTCAGCTTGGACAGCACCTTGAAATTGAATGTCTCCCAGTTGGCCATCTTCAGCTGTACACTGCACTTCTTCGGGTAATTGTAGACGTCCACCAGGCGCGGATAGGAGCGCTTCAATATCTCTGCCAAGGGCAAGACGTCGGAAAAATCGCGCCGTAGCCGGTGCGTTCCCATATTATTCTGCAGAAGCCAATCGTGCACCTCCGCCAACTCTTCGATGCTGAGATTCTTATTGTTTATAGTATGCATATTGCCGTAACATTCGAATATGCGGAAAACCGAAGATAAATTACAAAAATATATCGGGTTCTGATGTTACGAGTATGTGTTCGATACTCTCAGTAAAAGATTTGACATGTCGGTGTCTGTTTATAAAAAGACAACAAAATCTACACTACAGGCCTAAATTTGAAATGAAAACTGATTCGGTTGCATATACCGAACTATATTTTATTTACATTACCCAGTACGCGCAGAGATTTCCGTGATGTACTTGTATTAGTTTTGTGTGTAAGAGTCTGAAGGAATATATATATATATATATATTCTTTGTCCGTATTCATTTCCAAATCGATGTAGTTATGTCTCTTCGTCCAGATTCATATCCACACGCCTCTCCCGGGATATCATATCACTATTAAAAGTGTACATATTTCAAAATTTTGCGCGCATCCACTCCGCTCCCATAAAAGACGAAAATCTGTGTTCATCATCCATTTCATCCATAATTTTGAAGATTCGAGAAAAACGGAAAGCGACGAATCATAGAGAATGACCATACATAGTATGTATCCATATCCATAAGGACCGCAGCTCGATTCTATCGACCAATGAATCATTTGCAAAGGAATGTTTATCTCTAGCCGCAAACGAGTATACGTGTCCCACATACACATGGTATGTCGCAAGGTGAGTCCATACTTTAACTGAAAGATACCCATACTCACATACCTTGTGGAATGTGGAATGTGGAATGTGGATTGTGGCACTCATCCAATCCTTCTGTGATCCCCAATTAAAATAAAAACACCGAAGATATAGCAATTAAATATTTATTCTGGCCAAAAAAAATGAGAACAAAATTGGGTTTCATGTTTGGTGTATATTACAGTTAAGAGTAAATTGACTAAGCCTAGTTCGTGATTATATCGGTTTATATAAGGACATATACATATGTACGTATGTACATATGTGCGCAATATCGGGTACGTTTGGTATATAAGTACGAGAACGAGCATCCTCTGTTATCCGCTCCACATCTGGGTATGTTATTGCACAAGAACCATTATATTTCCCATAATATATATATGTACATAGGCCACTGGGGATCTGGGAATCGGGGAATCGGGAAATCGGGGAATCTGGGGGTCAGGAAAGGGGCGGGCGGGCGGTGCATCTCTACATGGGGCAGCCGTGCACATAGCTCACATTCCGGAAGATTGCCGCCGCTGCAGCGGAGGTCAAGAAATTGCACGGATTGCTGGCCGCAGCGGCCGCCGCGGCGGCGGCACTGAACGAGCTGCTTAGGCCGGTGGGGCAGCAGCCCAAGCCCCCACCACCACCGCCGCCCTCCGGCACACCAAAGTCCTTCTCGAGCGTGGCCTGGTGGCGCAGCTGCTCCAGACGCAGCTGGTTCTGTCGCTTCCATTTGGTGCTGCGGAAAGAGAACACTCGTTAGATACATCATTGTTGCTTTTTCCACTTAAATATTTACTAAGAATCCCAAATACGTGTACACCAATTGAATCCAATCACAAACATGATCCATGACAATCGGTGACGGTGTTCTGGTATTCGAGATCCCCCCACTTTTGAAATCTAGAAGGTGCTACACCTGTCCACCTGTCGCAACAGTCGACTCGTGTGCGGACTGGCGACTTCCTGGTGCTCTCGTACTCGTAATATGAGAGATCAAGTTCCACTCGATTTGTTTGCTTGGTGGGTTTCCCTCGAATACGAGTGTAAACATATTAGAAGTGATACTCTTTGAAGGAAAGCGGAGCCGATGGCTACTGGAATTCAGGCAGCCACACATCTCTTGAAACTGAGGCAGTTCTGGTGAATAGCACGGATATACATACAAGTATCCACGTACATATTCCACACCTGGTACGTATTATTTACCAGGTAGATTCTCGTATTTCGTAAATTCTTGTAAATATTTGTATACGAAGAAAAAGTCTGAGCAACAGAATATCACTCATACGTGACAGCTTTTCTATTATTTGCAGGGGGAGATAGTAGAGATCGTAGATCTCTACACTGCCATATATGTTCGAGTATATCTGGTACTTTTCACAAATTTGAATGAAAAGAAAACTGTATTCAAACCAAAATCAAATCCATGGTGAATGAATTGGTTTCGGATGGCACTTACCGTCGATTCTGGTACCAGGTCTTCACCTGCGTCTCGGACAGATTGAGCGTCTCGGCCACGTCGCTGCGATCGGCCACGCTAAGGTACTTCTGGCACCGGAACTTCCGTTCCAGGTACGCCAGCTGGGCGTGGGTGAAGGCCGTGCGTCGTCGTCTCGGCTTGCGTCCGCTCTTGCTCATCTGCAGCTTGTGCTCCGCATAGCTGCCGCCGCCACTGCCTGGGCCTCCGCCTCCTCCTCCTCCGGTTGGATCGCTGCTGTTGGCACCGTTAACCGCCGCCGCCGCCAAAAGACCGGCTGCCACGCCCGCCGCAGCCGCTGCGGCACTCAGCCCCGATCCGACACCGGACCCAGGACCCGGTGTGCCCGTGCCGCATGACTCCACGCTGGAGTCGTCATTGTGGTGGAAATGGTGATGGTGCGACAGCAACAGGTCTTGCTGGCAGCCATGCGCCGTCGAGTCGGGAGTGGATCGATCCTCAATATCAATGTCCGAATCATCGTTGGAGAGCTCGATTTCTGAACAAAAGAAAGCATACACATTAGAGCCCTGCATGAACAGGCAACCCACTCGATTCGGTGGGATTCGGTGGGATTCGGTATTCGTTTCGGTCGGTCAGTCAGAATAAGAGTGTAGGCCTTCTAATCGGACTAAACGAAATATGTAAAGCCATTTTTAAAGGATTTAATTGGATCCGAAAATTTCATTAGCATAATCCATTATTAAAGAAGTAAAGCTGTAAGATTCGCAATCGAAATCGAATGAGAGCTGTTTCTGGAAAGGGGATTGATTCTAGATGGAAAGCAAGTGGAGAAGCAGAATACGAGAGGGGGAGGATGCTTTTAAAAAACAATTCAATTCAACCGCTATGCCAGTTCCTCTCAAAGTTTATTGATCGCTCGAAGTCGCAGAAGGGGATAAAGTATAGAGGGAAGAGACGACCACTGCAAACAGAAAGATATAGATACTGTGGAGAGACTGTAGTCTGCTTTTGAGCGCAGCGTTAATGCGTTTCATCCTTCTTCTTTTTTTTTTAAGCTAAAAGTGTAGCCCGAAAGAGGCGCGTGCAGCCACTTTTGACTCAGGGCCACAGCCAGGCCAAGTCAACTCATTAACGGCGTCCAGCAATAGACAACGCATCACAGCACAAGGCACTGCCTCAAGTGGGCGTTGGTCCATTAGGAAGACATACAGCACAGCACGGCACAGGGCAGTGCAGGGCGGACGGAGAGCAGATTGAAGCAGATTGAATATTATAGGATGCGGAGTTGCACTTTGCAGCAATCAACATGTTATATATATCCGCCACGTATCCTAATCCTGATCCCATATCCTGTTGTGCCCGTCTCAAGATTGAGTCCACGATTGAGTCGCAGTCGCTGCGGGGCTGCCTGATTAAATTCACGTGTCGTCTCGAGCTCTCAATTGCTTCCCATTGGAATGTACTTTGTTTGCTCCATCACTCCCACTCGCAGCAGCAGGACCATGGTTCACGATTCAGATTCATCCTTGACGTCATCTCGCTCGCCTCTCAGGGTCCGCCCCGGGGGCGCTCACGTGTGTCCGCTCTCGCTCAATGAGGATTCCCCGTTGCGGAAATTATTTCTATATTTGTGTGTGTTTTTTAACCCCAAATGGGATTCAATTCGACTTTTCATTCTATTTATACCAGCAACAGCACAGAAACAGAAGCATACAGAGCGAAAGAGAGAGAGACAGAGTCCTGGTCCTGGTACTGGTCCTGTTCCTGTTCCTGGATGAAAGGTTATTCAATTATGCATATGCGAGTATGTGTGCTGTGCCTGTTGGTGCATGTTTTTGTGCGTGAATGTGTGTGGGCATCCTGTGGAGCGTCTCGAGTGAGTTCTTTCTTTTCCTTAAAAAGTCACGTCGTATCAATTTGTGGCACAATTGCCATTTAATAGGCACTTGAAGTGCGACAGACATATACTATATGTACGTACGTAAAGGGAAAAGTACGATTCAATTCAAGAGAGATATATCCTGGCATGTGCCACCAATTTAGACTCGTTTTTGTTGTTTAGATTAAATGCGTCTTTTACTTCGACTGTAAGGGCGGCAACAGAGCCCAGTTCTCGCTTAAAGGAAATCCATTCATGGCAAATCATAGACAATTGTTCAGTGTTAGGTGTCTTAAATACTGAGATACCTGGGAGAACTAGAACTAGAACCAAAAGGACAGCCAGAAGGAAGAGAGAACGGATACCGAGGTGGAATTCCGCCAACTACCAGACCAGGCACCGAAGAAACCACCGCCAGGAGCTAAGAAAGTTGCACATCACACATCCCACCTCGCACATAACTGCAGACAATTAGCCTCTAAATAGTTTTAGTTGTTGAGTTAAACTTTATTTAATGTCATGCATAACTAGAAGACAACAGCAAAATGATAATTACATGAGCACAAGCACAGCCACACGTTACAGGGAGGCCCACGGATACAGTAGGGCACAAAACAAAGCCAGCCGCATGGAGCCAGGCACCTGGGGCAGGGCAGGACAGTCCTCTGTAAAAGGATTCGCAATTGCAGTCACACTCCAATGCCACTCCCCGCCCTCTCAGTTGTAGTTCCAGTTCCAGTTTCAGTCACATTTCCATTTCCCCGTACTGGGGCTAAACAATCAAAGTGCCTGTACGTGACAAATTGCTCGAGCACAGGTTACCAGCCAACAACTGCAACGCCAGAAAGGACTCTCTTTTGGGCACCGAACTTGAGATACCCTGGCGTACCAATCATTTATCAAGTGTGTATAAACTCAGCCATATATAAATTAAATATTCTGTTGTTAAGTAGGTGATATTAAAGTGAATTCCCCCTAAATATATAGTAAAATACTATAAACTATATATAATAGTCGGAAATCTATGAAGTTCGTAGAAAATATATTTAATTTAAATATGAAATTTCCAATAAGTACATATGCAGCAGATTCATATCATATATTTTTTGATTTCTTTATTTTTTTTAAATTGAACAATAACTATTGGAATATTACTTTCGATTTATTTGATGTCTGTCTTATCTCCAATATTCATATAATAACTATTAGTTAGTTTTTATTAGCATAGAAACAATCGGAAGAACAGGAAGACAAACACCTATAACATTGTATTTTTAATGGCGCACAAGAAATCAGTGGACGAGAGCCAGAAGACTATCGGACGAAGGAACTAATAAAGGTCCAACATTCAGACAGGTTCAGATATAAACAACGTACACTGAAACAAGTTTTAAAAATACGATTTGGAAATGGAAGCGTTATAGGTTCTCGAAATGTGTGGATGTATCTTTCACAAAGGATAAGTACATATGTATGGACTAGAATATCCTCTGTAAGGGTATAGGAAAAGCAAGCAGTGCACAATTAAATTATTGCCCAAAGCGTTTGTTTGTGTCCCGTTCCTGCCCCACACCTCCTTCAACCATCCCCTCATCGTACTCTCACTCTCGTTTCTTCTCCTCTCCCACTCCCTCTCCGTTCCCCTTCCTTTGGACTAAAAGTTTTGTTTTGCGATAATTGAGCGAGGTGTGAGATTTAAATGCTAGAGGCAGACAAAGAGCGAGAGAAAGGCAATTTGTCAGCGGTTTTAAGCCGAAACTCCCCCTCCGTGAAAAACAACAAAAACATCAAAGGGGATGGGGATGCAGACAGGGAACAAGTTAATTGGCCCAACATAGAGTCATAAATATGTAGGTGTGTAATATACGGCTGTAGCAAGACGTTTAGCATACCTAATAAATATATGTACATGTATGAAATCGAAGGGAATATTCGCATAAGCGACTTGACTTTTGGTTTCTTTGGCGCTTTTCTGGTTTTCTTGATTATAGCCTGATTCTGATGGAAAGTCTCAAGGCGGTTGGACATTTAACCAGGACTGATAAACGCGAGAGTTCTGTGCAGCTATCTCGCGAGAAGCACAAACAAACATGATCAATGATCATGGACAATGCTCGAGTAATCATCAGTGCTTCCCAGGCGTCAGAATTCGTCGCAGTGATCGCAGGCAGCCTTGTTTATTTTCCGAAATAAACAAAGAGCATTTCATATCTTGTTTTTTTCTTTGTGATAAGATAATCATGCTATCATCTATCGCTGACATTCCATCTATTTTGGCAAGAAGGCTGAGAAATGTTTGAGGTGTATAATCAGTTATATTCATTAATGTTCATTAATATTCATTAATTAAAGTAATTTTCTCTCTTAAGATGATAATGGGAATTGTGACTATAAGGTCTGCTTTTACTGACTGCTATAAAAAGAAATAATAATTATTTTGCAATGATCTTGACTTTTTTGAGTTGGTTTTTAAAGTAAAACATAAAACATGTTATATTTCGTAAAAATTACGTTCTTTTAAGCTTTTGTTGGTTCAGGATAGAAAGGGGTTTTATAAGAAAAATCCTCAAATATGGATTTTCGTACCGGATACCTAAATATCTGAAAAATATCCGAAACTCTTGAGACGAATATGCTGAGCTCTTCTAAAAAATATCTAACAAACTAACGTCTGTCGTCCATCGTCTAACGTTCGTTGTCTATCGAAGAAGAATGTACCGATGATGATGATAGCTGTGGAGCAAGCACCATGGCAGCTCCATACCATAATTGATCCTTTTTCATATGCCTGTATATCCTAGTGGCGACACTCACCCGAATCCGCCGTTTGCCGCCGATTGATCAGGTCTCCCAGCAGGTCGCGTATTAAAAACGATTTCGAGCTTTGCATTTTGATGTATAGGTTAGGATGGGTTTTCTAGGTTGCGGTTTCCGTTTCCGCTTTCGTTGTTTCCGTTTGTGTTTCAATATAGTTAGTTACTGTGTTGCAAGTGCAAATGCCCCGTCAGAGCCTTGCTGTTGGCTAACATTTTTATCGCACTTAGCTGAACATGAACAAAAACAATACGGCGGAGTGCACGGAATACCCGGAATGTTTCAGAATGCTTCAGGTCAAGTCCCAGTACCAGTCCCAGTCCCTGCTGCTAGCCGACGGTAAAAAATGTATGGAAATTTTGGTGCTGCAATCTTCTTCTCGACGGTATTTTAGTTGTAATTGAATTGAATCTATGTATCTTGCCACAAGCACGCACACAGCAGCAGAAGCAGAAGCAGCAGCTGAACCGCTAAGCGCCGAGTCAAATGAACAACTGAAATGCGAAATGCTGAACGTTTATTAATCCTTTTAGCGAACATGAGCAGACACAGGACGGGGCACAGGCTCCCACCCTCAGCCACAGGGACACATACACACATACAGTGACAGAAGTGAATTACGTGGATTTGTTGCTGTAAACGGGACAGTTTAGCGCTCGAAGTCGAAGTCGAAGCCGAAGCCAGCGCCAGCGCCAGCCCAGTCGTCGTTGTCCGCAGCAGCAGCACAAGCAGAAGCAGAAGCTTTGGAAACTTTGCAATGGCCGCTGCTGCTGCTGCTTGTGTTACCGTTAACATGCCATTTAACCGTTATTTAATAAGTCATGTCATCCAGCTGCCATCCCGCTTGCACACAGCCAACTTCCGTTCCGTTACGTTCCGACGTTAGCCATTTTGTTTGCAACGTGCGTTTTGCGGGAGAGTGCGCAGAGAGCAAAGAGCACTGCTCGCATCGCACTGATGCCATCCCGCTCCTCCGCGACCAGGGTTGCCGCTCCCCGATTGGCCACTGCCACTGCCAGTCCATCCATCCATCCATCCGGTGGCAAAAGCATAACCATATGCATAAGCCACCCCCGCCAAAGCCAAAGCCAGAGCCAGACACCACCCTTAAAAGTCTAACCAGAGTCACGGTTCATTCTGCTCAGCCTCAGAGACAGTCGACAGTCGCCATTCGAATGCACTGCCAGTTGGTGCAAGGAGCAAGTGCGAGTGGCACCAGTGTGTGTTGTTTGTTGTGTCCCCGTGTGCAAGTAACAAGCGGGCGCGAGCGTGAACGCGGTGCAAGTGGTAATTCGCCGTCGGAAAACTGTATGCTTTGATTATATGAACATATACATATATAGGATTTACACAGGTTTCCTTATAATTTGAAAGTATACAATTTAATAGAATAAACGAATAAAGATAAATATTGTTAAATAGGATCGATATCCACATAATTTAACGCACAGAGGGAAGCTGTTTCGAAACTATAAAATACATAGATCTTAAGATTTAGATCAAAAGCTTAAAAACGTATTCGAACCAATAGGATTAATGTATCCTCTCGATGCCATGGACTCGATGGGACTATGATCTGCAAGGCTTTTTCTTTTTTCATTCCTGCAAAATTTAAATTAGAGCGTCTGCTTAAAAACCGATCGCATCGATTGATGATATTTCCACCAAAACAGATTCATTTTTACGATTCGAGTTTCTTTTCTTTTTTTGATTAACTGATAGTTTTGTAATTATTCTTTAAGGATTTAGAAATGGGAAAATAGGTTGCACTATTCGCTTTAACTTAAGGTTTCATAGTATTCATAATTATTGTCTAAAGATCTGTAAGGAAAGGTATGCTATTGTCAATGAACTCAAGGAGGGGTGTTACGTTTTAGGTCTGCGACTGATCCATGTAGTTTAAAGCGGAAATGGCAGCGCCCAGCAAATGGATGGAGCCCGTGATGAGCACCTCTATGTGGCCGTTGTCCGTGTCAAAGCGCTGCCGGATGGAGGTAAAGGCGTCCGTTAGGGTGCTGTACACCTGACCGCTATCGGGCTGCTTCTCCTGCGTGCACATCTGACTCCATTGTGTGGCAATGTCGCGGACACGCATCATCCGCTGCTCGGGACTGAAGCGGACCATCACCTGGCTAGGAGCGTTAGGATTCGAGGTGGCGTAATTGGGTACAAAGCAGACCATGTCGTAGGCACAGGCGCGATTCACCAGGCTAAGCATCTGTCGGATATCCGAGCCTCCAGTGCGATTAAAGATGAGAATCCTGGGACTGGAACTGCAACAGGAACAGGACCGAAAGAAGAATGTTAAAAGAGTTCAGAGAGTAATTTAACAATCAGAGCACACTCACCTCTGGCTGATGCTCTCGGCAAACCATTTTGTGCACACGGCCATGCTCTCCATGGTGTGGGCTCCGTCTAGGTGGAGGCGCATGCCCCGGTACTCCACCAGCTGACAGCGGCCAGGCCAGTGAGCATTCAGCAGTCCCAGCAGGATCTCCGGTTCGAGCTTTGCTTCGTTGAGGGTGTAGTCGCGGTGGAGGGGTCCACTGGTCTGGGACAGCCAGTCGGTGGCCAAATGAATGGCCAGAGATCCGTTGAGTTTAACGACTTGGTTCAAGTTGTCCCAATGCTGGGCATACTGATTCGACTGAAAGTAGTGCCGGGTTGGGGGAACCTCGTGGAGAATGGCCTGATTCTCCTGCGCCCGCTGGCGGATCACTTGCAGGCACTCCGGCTGGCTGACATGCGTGTAGACATGGGCACCCGGCTTGATGATTCCCGCCTTCTGCCAGGCAATCTCCGGGAGCGTGTTGCCCAGCAGCTCGGTGTGCTCCAGGCCCAGCGAGGCAATCCCAACGGTGCGGACATTGCGCACAATGTTGGTGCAGTCATGCTCCCCTCCGATGCCCACCTCCAGCACGGCAACGTCCACACGCTCCTCGATGAACACGTGAAAGGCGAGGATCGTGAGGAACTTGAAATAAGCTGGCATGTCCAGCTCGAACTCCTGCCGCTCCTGCAGCCGCTTGTAGACCTTCCAGAACTGCTTCGTAAACTTCTCCTTGGCCAGCGGAAGGCCATCGATCCGGATCCGCTCAGTGGTGTACACAATGTGCGGAGAGCTGAAGAATCCAGTGTGAACTCCGTTGTGACGCAGCAGGGATTCCGTGAGAGCACACGTTGAGCCCTGCAAAGGAGGAGGTGTCAATATGCACGTACATATACGAGTATGTATGTATATATGCTCCTATCTTGCGGCCAAAGCTCAATGCTCGGCAAGAAATAATGGCGATGGATAATAGGCGTAGTAGGGTATTTCGACTATATGATACCCACTATAGCAGAGCAGTGGAGAGCTATTATAGGTGTAGTCGCAAAGGATCTTAGCTGTCGAAAAACGAATATGAATTAGCTACGAATACACTGCCAAAAAACTAAGTTTTAGGGTTGTAAATAGATGCCCATGCCTCTTAACGATATTTGACGGAGATTAGGCCTGTAGTATTTGTAAATTACGAATTCCATACGATCTGATACGAAACAGATGAAGATAAACGAGAACCCCAATGAAAAGTGATATTTTGTTTATGGGGTCTCGGAGCTCTGTTTCTGCTTCTGCGAATAGAATATACCCCGCCAGTAAGCAACGAGTAACGGGTACCGGGTACCAGGTACAACCAAAACATATCAATCTATAAACAAATTTCAAATTGAAAGCTAAAATAATCTAATCAGCAAATGAGCGATTAAACTTGCGAGAGGTGACTGAGAAACCTGATTGTGGTGCAGCGCTCTCTCAGTCTCTGGCAGAGAGCGTGCGAGAGCAACTGTTAATTTGGGTGGGCTCCAGCTGTTGATGTTGGATATTGGATTTTGGATGTTGGATAACAAACAAAAAACTGGTTCAGGCAAAAATGCCCTCAGCTATCAGCGCTTACCTTGCCCTTGGTGCCCGCCACATGGATGAAGGACAGCTGCTCGAGTTTGGTCAGGGGCAGGCCGCTGCGCTCCAGATATTTGAGAGTATCCGCCTTTGTGTTCACCCTGGGATTATCCATTGAGTTGCGTATTGTAACATCGTTCGACTGCAGAATGTTTAGCTGCTTGATGGCCGCCTGAAAATATACCAAGAGAGATATGGAGACAGGGCGAGGAGGAGCAGGAGATAGAACACACACTCACCTCAAATTCGGCATTAACATCCTTGTTGTCCGTTGCGGTGTCATTGTTGTTGTTGACCAGTCCCTTGGGATCGAAGACCAGCTTCTCCAGGGTTGGGCTCTCCTGCTGCTTTACTGCTGCATTCGATAGGAGCTTGGTCGGCATCTCAATGTTGTTGCGGATGTGGGATGTGCACAGCTGTTTCGTGGGCCTTGGCCCCCGTCGAATCTCATCTATCGACATTTCAGTCACTATCGCAGCTCGGCGTACGGTCTTGCTGTATTCACGTACTGAGCTCAATAGCCGACGAGCAGTCATATTTATAGAGACCACTGTTAACTCAGAACCCAGGTCTCTCACAATTCAATTTAAAAGGTACGGGTCTCAATTATGCTGGTTAGAACGACAGATATGTACGCTTAAGTGGGAATAATAACTAATAACACGGTTTACACAAGATCTGAAATATCAAATTTCTTTAGACAGCGCGTGTGCGTGCGGTCTATTGACAGATAAGATAGACCAGTGGCTTAATCGAAACACGTAGGCAAATTATATGTGCACACATATATAAGCGAAATAAATAGATAAACAAATTGTTATTTGAATATTATGCAAGATAACAAATTGCCGCCATATGACTATCGACTGCGATAGCTGAGTACGCAAGCGATAACTTTTGTCAACATTTTCATCACAAGTGGCAACGCCACCGAGCACATGCAATGCAACCAATACTGCGCAATACCCACACACACAAACGCGGCTAATAAGCAGACATGTGTGTGTCAGAAAATAAACATTTTCCAGTCTCCTTGTTTTGATCATAAGCAATACACACACTCGTCAGTTTCGAATTACAAAAATTTATTCTGTTTTCAGAGACGTCAGCGCACCAGATCTGAACAAGATTTACATTTTGTGCAAAGGCAACTTGATGATACACACACAGAAGCAACCAACACCGAATTTGAAGAACAGCTGATCATAAAGTAAAACAAGATGGAGAGCACGTGCGCGCTATTCATCATACATACGCTCAGTCAATGAAATGTCGGAGGAAAAGGCGGGCACTTCTGTTAAAAGGTATGGTATATTTCAATGAGAATTTGAGTGAAATTCAAGACGTAATATTTTCGGACAGCCTGCGCCTGGGTTTTTGCGAGGTCTGTGCCGCAAAGGAAGCCCAATATGCCTGCCCCAAGTGCGAAGTGAAGACCTGCAGCGTGGCCTGCGTCCAGATACACAAGAGGGAGCTCGACTGCGATGGTCTGCGGGATCGCACCAAGTTCGTGCCATTGAGCGAGATGACGGCCCGAGAAATGATGAGCGATTACTACTTCCTGGAGGAGTGCACGCGGTACGCGGATGACCGCAAGGGCGACCACGCCAAGCGCTATACCCAGCAGCAGCGATACCTGCCAGGGCCGCAGCATCGCATGCGCGCGGCAGCCCAAAAGCGGAACATTAAGCTTTCCCTGCTGCTGCCGCTCTTCAGTCGGCACAAGGAGAACACCACATTTCTGGACTGGAAGCGGAATCGCTTCTATTGGCGCATCGATTGGCTGTTTGCGAATGCTGCAGAGGAAGAGAAGGAGGAGCATGACCAGACGAAGTCCGCCCACTTTGTGGATGCTCGCTGTGATGAAGAACTGACTCTGGCCGCCCTCCTCCTTAAGTATGTGGATCCCAAGCAGGAGACAGCCCGCAAGAATCGCAAATGCCTCGTCCGCTATCAAACGGTGGGCATTGGTGGCCTGAGCTTTTGGCTGCAGGCCGAGGGCGTCCGGCGCAGCGCCACTCGCTGCTATCACCTGGAGGCAAACAAAACGCTGCGCGAGAATCTCTCCGGCAAGACTATTGTGGAGTTCCCCACCATCTTTGTCACCTATGCGCCGCATCCTCCGGCTGGCTACGAGACGATAGACAGTGGTGAGTTTTCAAGTCCTCTAGGTGCGTGTAACTCCTGAAATTCATTTCACTTTCCTTACAGATAAAGAATCGGATGATGAGCTCACAGGAAACGCATCTGATTCCCAATCGGAAGAGGAGGAGCCAGCATCTGCGAATACACCGAAAAAGGCAAAGATACTGCACGATTTTGATGAGATTCACGATGTCTACCATGCATTGGCTTCTGCTTATTCTGACGACGACGGGGACACAGATCACTGTGGTATTGAAGGAATGTTTCGTAAAGACATCGAGCTGTAAACCAAGAGAAGAGCCAAAGCAGAAGCGACAGAGTTTAAGATTGAGATTTGGTAGTCTCTGACTAGCTTGTGGCAAAACAGAAGGAAACTAGGGAAGATCCAAGCGTCTGATCGACCCTTAGCCTTAATAAGAGGATCCTGTGTAACATTATCTAGTACCTGAATATTAGCGGGGAAGTCGCAAGCAGCCCAAGCGAAGATAAATCAGAACAGATGCCTTATGTCCTTCTCTGGCCAGTACTACGATAATGAAAAATAAAGTAAAGATCGTGAATGAAACAGAGCCTTATGCATGTCCTACCGCTGCCAAATAAAATAATGATGTGGTTGGATGTATTTTTACATAAATTTTGTTGTATTTTTCTCTCATACACATTTGATTTAGGATTTATTTTAGGCTAATTAAACGTTTAGAATTGTATACCAAGTTTCTGCTCGAATTGGGGATCGGATCTGTTCGTCCCAACCATCAGAAATCATAATATATATATACATATATATATATGTATATCGAAGTGTGAAAAAACAAGTTACAGCTTGAGGCTAATTTGGGACATTTGTGTACAATTCGGTTCGGTTTTCAGTACAGCAATTGGTACCTTTATATACTCGTATATGCAGTATATACATATGTATGTATGTCTATATATATGTAAGTATATCAGCAGGCTGGACCGGAGGATCTTTAGTTTAATTTTGAAACACCAATTAGCAGAAATTTCGATTTTATAGATGTTTGTACATAATACATATGTGTGCTTATATATATATATATTTATATGTATATAGGTTTGCCTTATCATTGCCTTTCTTCTTTCCATATTTTAGGGTTTGTTTTTATCGTTTTTGCCTGCACCAGTTTTTCGTTTTAATTTAAATTAAGCATTAAAGCATCAAAGCAACAAAAATAAACACAATTCAATTCTAACAGAATAAAATATAAAACAAAATAATATATAGTAATTGGAATCATATTTCATATTGAATCATATTTTGCACACCAATCGCATCGCATCTCAGAAGGGACACAGAGAACCAAAAAAAAAAAAAAGTCGAGGATCGCATCTATCAATTCGATAATTCAACTATATAGAAAACACACAAGAATTTCGATTAGAGATAGGTGCACACATACCACACATACACATACATATTTGTATATACATATACTCGTATATATAGATAGATAGGTAGATAGTTGTTTTTAAAAGGTGAATAATGCATAAACCAATGACCTGTTCTGTTCTGTCTTGTGTGTCCTGCGCTCCCACCTCCCGCTCTTTGAATACATATCTCTTTGTCATCATTCTCTTCTCATACATCAGCTCTATACAACAACAACAACAAAAAAAAAAATAATCATAAAAACTATGCAACATACAAAAGAAATATCATATATATAAACAGAAATTGCTTTGTTGGGTTGGGGAGGGGAGTGGGAGTGGGATTTTAGGATAGAACGCGATAGAGGGGGACTGGATGGGGGGGGATGGGTATTACATATATATTTTGCTATTAGTACACAAATTGGTTTCATCTTTTCGCTAAACATTTAAAGATCGTTCGAAGGATGGTCGTACACATGCACCACGACACATACACACACACACACACACACCACTAACACACACAAACACCAAGATAAGGTTGGTAAAGGACAGACAACAAAGTAAATTAATGCAAGTTAGAATCGGATCATCTTGATCAGTAGTTTTTGTTGTTGGGGCGTGGCGGAAAGTGACATTTCTCCTGCGAAATTTTTCCCCCCGCCCCTGTGACCACCTGTGGTCACCTTTTGTGTGTGTGTTTCATGTGGCAGGCAGGCAGGTGGCAGGGTGAATGGGTGTGTGTGTGCGTGTGCTCTGGTTATGTGCGCGTGTGTGGTCTGGTCTTCTGGTATGGTAGTCTTTACGTAGCTCGAAGTTCAGCTAGAAAGAGAAATATATCGAATCAGTCGAGGAGGAGGCTCCACTGTGGGCTACGGACCGGTCCCACTCACATTTCGCTGGCATTTGGGCTCTGGCACCCCCGCTACTGCTAATGCGCAGGAGCGCATTCAGGGTCCTCCTGGAACAAAGTAACCCCCTTGTGGCACTGCAGCCGGCGCCATTATGGGGGCCAGGACATTCTCGGACGCCGCTGACATGGGCGCACCCGAAGGATTGAACACGTCCACATACGAGTTCTTTAGAGCTGCAGAAGGGAATAGTTTAGAGCACTCTCTCTTTTGCGGGGGGCATATCTTACTGCGATTGCGCTGCATTTTAAACATGTTCGACTGCAGCTTGGGCTGGGTGCCACCGGGAACTGGTGCCAGTGCTGCTTGTGTGTTGATGCCGAGGTCTGGCGATGGTATCGCAGGCGCTGGAGCTGGCGATGGCACCGTCGCTGGATATAGCTCGGGCGTCGGGACAGCAGCAGCTGCATAGTCATGCGGATTCCCATACATTTGTGGGTGCTGTGGGGCCGCCGCCGCCACCGCATCGTGCCCACTCATCAGATGGGGTGAGGGCATGCTGCCCAGCATATTTGGAGGTGGCGCACCCATGATGCCCATTCCCATGCCTAAGTCACTCATCTTTGGCGGCGGCTTAAAGCTTTCCGCCTCATCCGAATTGCCTTCGGTGTTGGTCCAGCACTTGCGCTCTTTGTCCCACACAATGGTGGGATTCTTGTCATCCGGCAGAATCATTTGGTTCTTCGGTTTCAGCGACAACTTGTTCCACAATCCCCCGAACCAACCGGCATTCTGATTGCCAGGTGCACTGCACACACAAGAGAGAAATATGATTAGGATGATTGATGGGTCTCTTGAAGTGTCGAGACTTACCCAATTTCTCCACCCGATCCTTGTTTGCCTCCTGCTCCTGCTGCTGGCTTGCTGCCGGCCGCTGCTCGGGCTGTGGCCGTGACCGTGCCCGTAGCCGCACCATCGTCCTCATCCCCGTAGCTCTTGGATTTTGGCATTGAGATTGCTGGTCTCCCACCCTGTGGCTGTTGTTGCTGATGCTGAAGCTGTCGAATGCGAATTCGGAATTCGAATGCGGAGTTAAAAAATGGCATTGGATTAGTTGTTTGATTTGTAGCTGTCGATAGGTACTATTCTTGAGATCTTTGGCTATTTCAGAACGTAGTATGCAGTATGCAAGGTTAGTTAACAATGAAAATACGAGTTTAGTTTGTGTTTTAATTGTAGCTTTAGTTCTAGTTTTAGTTGGTTAGTTCGGGGCGGAATAAATGAACAACAGAAACAGAATCGTGGGCAAAACGGGCAAACGGGCAAAACTGGCGCAGTCAAAACACTCTCTTCACATTCGATCATATTTTCTCCCTATCTGTATATCTCGGTAGACAGATTTCAGTATCATTAAAAGGCTTATGGGCTAGCGAAGGCTTACAAGGATATAATATATATGTATATATATATATATATATATATATATATATATATATATACTATATATAGTTTAACAGTTAGACAAGCTCCAGGTACTCAAACTCCAAACGATCTCTTTCACCTCTCTCAAATAACTGACAGATTTTGGCAAGAAAACTACTGTTCTGTTTTTTGGTAGTGAGATCAAGGAATCGATGCAATCGATTGCTGGATTATTCGACTACGGGCACAGGGCCAAGACTGTGTCTGTTTACAATCTTTTCTTAGAACTAAGCGCCTCCCCCTGACTGTGGCTGCTGCTGGTGGGTGCATCAATCTCGTAGGTTCGCACTGCTCCTCCCTTCTTCTTCTGCTGCTGCTGCTTGCTATCCAGATACGTCTCGAATTTACTCAGACTCTGCTCCACCTCGGAGCACATCTTCTTGTAGTTGAGCGGAATGGCGGGATTCGCAATCAGCTCTTGCATCGACCACACATGCTGTGGCTGTGCAGCGGCAGCCCCAACCGCTGAGATTGAGGCTGCTGTTCCAGCTCCAGCTCTAGTTTGTCCAGCCGATGGCTTGCTCTGGATGATGCCATATTTGTTAAGGAAATCATGGTCCTGCACCATCCCATAGTAGTCGCCATCTTCGTCGTCATCATCGTCGTCATCGTAGCAGTCATCCTCATCCCCATAGCCCATCAGCTCCTCCGCAAACTCGTCGTCTTCCTCGGCCTGCTCTTCGCCCTCGGCATCTTCATCGATCACGTAGTCACGTAGCATGTACCGATAGCGCTGCAACTCGCTGCGATCTGCATTCGCCTCTGGGTCATAGCTGTTGCTCTTGGACTGAGTCTGATCCTGGGTCTGGGACTGGGCTTGCGCCTGCGCCTGACTCAGGGGCATATCAATTGGATAGGTCCCATTAAATACGATGTGCGGCTTGCGGCAGAGCCTAGTGGCCGCGGCCGTCGGCTTAAAATGCGGCTGGGCCTGAGCCAAAGCCATACTGTTCTCATTCTGTTGTCCGATTTCCAGTTCCTGCTCCTGCTCGGAGGACTCATCAATGGTCGATGGTAAGTTAAAGTTGACCCGCTTAACTACTCCTGATCCTGATCCTGCTCCTGTTCCAGCTGCTGTTCCTCCTCTGATTCCTCCGCTGGTTGTGGTTGTTGTGATCTTGGACGCTGTGGAGGACTTCGCTATGGCCGCCCTAGCGGCTATGAAACGTGTGGGCGTTGTAAGCGTTTTGGGCGTTGATAAAACATGACAACTATTTTGACTGATGTTCGATTTTCTACAACTAATTAATTGCTTAGGAATGGCTGCTGATGCTGCGGCGGCGGCAAGTGTAGTTGATATGCTGCTGCGGTTGCAAATATTGCTGTGGCTGCTGCTGCTGCTGTTGCTGCTGTTGCTGGTAGCTTGGTGTCGTTTATTTATGGTAGTAAAGCTACTTACATCATTCAAATTGAATGCCTTTGTTGCTGCTGGCGCTGGCGTTGTCATCGCTTCTGCTGCCTCAATAGCTCCTTCTGCTGCTGCTGCTGCTGCTGCTGCTGCTGGTTCTGCTTTTGTGAGACGTGTTGTGACTGCTGTCTGTGGCTTAGTAGCGGAGGATGCTGCCATTTGGCGGAGGAGTGTCTTTGTCCTCTCCATCTCCATGCCAGACTTTGTAACTGGTGCCTTCGAGCCTTTCAAGGGATTGTTGCTGCTGTTACTGCGATAGTGTGGTTGTTGCTTTAGTTTTTGCTGCTGCTGTTGCAAGTGCTGTTGCAGGTGCAGCTGAAGCTGATATTGTTGCTGCTTTTGTTGCAGCTGTAACATATTCTGTTCATCCTCCTTGTCCTTATCCTTATCCTCATGTCCTGTGTCTGTATCTTGGTTCTCATTTAAATTCTCAATTCCTTCCGTTCGCTGCATTCCAATAATGTGTGCATGTGTGCGTTGAAGTGTGTGTGTGTTTGAATT